GCGTGGGCGGCCACCGAGCCGCAGCAGCCCCTGGAGCCCCAGGTGGAGGTCTCGCGCGGGAACGCGGGTCAGAGCCGCGCCCACCCGCGAGGCCCGGCGCGGGGATGCAACCCGGGCGGCTTGTGCCGGAAGGGCCGGCCTCGCGTCCCGCGAAGCCTCGAACGCCCGCCGCTCCCAGGAGTGAAGCAGCCGCTGCGGGATGGAGCCGGGCCATTGCCCAGTTTCGAGAAGCCGTCGGCGTGGCCGCGGGAGGAGCAGAGCCGGGCGAGGGGCCTGCGCCGGCCTGGGCTGGTCCTGCGCGCCCTCCAGGTAGGAGCGTCCTGGTGCAAGTCAGGCCTCCCCGCTGCTGCTGCCCAGCCGCCCGCTGGGGGCCCGTTATGACTTGGGGCTCCCGAGGGGGCTGAACGCAGCTCTGGGGCTCCGTGAGACGAGACCACGGTTCAAACTCGCCGGGGCTCTGCAGCAAATCCCGTGGGACCGTTGACCTCCCCCAAAGAAGTGGCTGACCGGGGTGGGTTTGGGTTGGGGGAAAGAACACCCCTGGACCCTGGCAGGCTGTCAGGTCTGGGGCTGCCATGGTCAGGGAGGGAGCACTGGACTCACAGGGGTCATCAGGCTTGGAGACAATGGGATCCCATCCCCTCCCCTCCCGCTTTCATTTTCTCAATGGCGGAATTAGGACTTAACTGCAGCCAGAGGGATTTTAAGGACCTTCACTGGGCTGGCTTCAGTGTGCGATTTCCCTCCGGGTGGGTCTGGGGCTAGTGGGTGGAACTAGCTGACGATGGGTGGTCGGGCAGGGTCCTTGGGTAACCACTCTGGTTAATGCTTGGCCTAGTGAGCTGGTCAGGGTGCCCCACTGCGGCATAGACCAGATGAACTAAACTCATCACAACTCCATCTATTAAGATCTGGGCTGACAAAGACTCCTCAGCTCCATTCTCCAAAACAAAGGACCCCCCAGTTCTGGGACTAGGGTGGGGCCACATCTTCATTTGCATGCCCATGGGGTGCCTCAGTGGGGCCCGAGTCTGAGAGGCTCTTTGAAAATGCTGGGTGGTGGTGGTGGTGGTGGTGTTTAATTGCCCTTTGGTTGGGGTTCGCTTTCTGCCCTGAGAAGCTTGGCTGGTTCAGGCAATGGGCTTCTCTGCCCCCGCCACCCCTCACCCCCAGCAGCTGGTCATTTTGGAGCAAACAGTTCTGGGCTCAGGCTCAGACACTGGGATGTTGTTTGAGTTCCGCAGAAGCGGTGTATTAGGGAATCCCAAGAAAAGTGCCCGGTAAACTCGGAGTGTAATCACTGGAGAGACCACCCCACCCCCAAACCCCCGGGAGGATTGATTGATTTTCTTCTCTTTTTAACTCTGCTTAAGTAACCCACCCACCCATGACCATTTCAAAGAGCAGGGCCCAGGTCCCTGGACCCGCAAGGGCAGGCGGTGGGCGGTGGGTTGGTCAAGAGAAGCAGCACGCAGTATGTTCACCAGGATCGTTTTATTGCTTAGGGGCTGGACCATATGTGCCACAGGCCGGCATGGACCCCACGCCGAGCCCACGCACAGGTGGGCGGTGGAGGCCCCCCGCACACAGCGAGCAGTGACCACAGCCTTTGCCCAGCCAGACCGACTCATCTAGAACACGCTCGGCAAGCGGACGCCCGCCCACTCGGTGTCAGGGCCTAATACCACCTGGAGCTGGGGACTCTGTAGTGTTTTCAATGAAGCCAATAAAGCCCACACTGTGTTTCGCTGACACGCGCCGACCTCCGACGCTGGCAATGGGTCGCACTGGGGCAGGCGTCTCAGGGACGGGTCTATGTACAGCCCATGCTAAAAGCGGCTCTACTGTGAGTGCATGGGGCTCGGCTACTGCAGCCGGGCCTTACATTTCATGGGGGTTCTTGGCACCAGGGAAACAGTAACACGAGACAATAGTTTACAAAGTTCTTAAAAGGACACCCAAGCCCAGCCGTTGAAGCCATGTTCGTTCCTAATTTCACAGAGGGCTGGGGGTGGGGGCTTCTGGGCTGCCGCTGTGGACGAGGGCTAGGGGGTCAGAGGGCAGGCTTTGCAGGTGTGTGTGCTGCAGACCGTCCCCCACTCCCCGGCCCGGGCTCAACCTGCTGGTGGACGTTGGCAAGCACTCAGGCTGCAGAGAACTTAGCATAGGTTTTGGTAAGATTTATAAATTATTTTAAAAAGTACATATTTATAGACACATTGACATATAAAATGAAAGCAGCTGCGTGTGAGTCAGAGACCATGTCCCCCGGCAGTAGAGTGAGTGGCACGGCCGCCCGGCCCCGGGCTCCCCGAGGACAGTGATCACAGAGTGAGAGCCCGCAGTGAACTAAGACGCAGGCGCGCCTCGCTGTCTATTAGAGTTTTGGCAACAGGACTGTGAGTTATTTAAAAAACCCAAGGTTTCTACTTAATGTCACATGAACAGACAAGACAGTGAGGTATGTGAGGCTTTCCCGGATCGTCCCGGAGCTGAAGCGAAGTGTGGGGCCGGCGTCTAGCAGGCACACTCGGCAGGTCAATGGCGCAGCTTAAGAGCCGTGTTCAGGGTGCTGCTCCGTCTGTCTCCTGCTCACTACAGGGTGGTCTCTGGCAGGGGCTTCTCGGTGCTGCGCTGGCATCGCCTCCCTGCGTGGAATCAGGGCGTGTGTGAGGTGGTAGACACAGGGGGCCAAGCTCAGAAAGGAGGCCAGAGGGAAGGAGGCATATTTACCACACGTCACTGCACGACACAACACTTGTGCACGGGCGCATGAGGTTTACCTGCCCCGGGCGCAATCCGGAAGGCCAGGAACACGGGCTGCAGCCGGAGGGAGAGAACGTGAGCATGGGCGCTCTCCCATGCACCCACCTGCTCAGATCCTCACCCACACACCCGCCGCATGCAGATGGGGACCCTCAGCCCCCTGCCTTCGCCAGCCCAGGACCGTCACCCCCACCCACTCGCAGCCACATGCGCTCGGGAACCCTTACCTTCCCATAGTGACACCCTGTGACATGGGACAGGGACTGAGACTAGGGAGTGGCACCTTGGAAGGAAGGACTGGGAGTGTCGCCTGTTTCTATACAGAACTCACGCAGCCCTGGGGCTGGGCGAGGGCTGGCCGGCACATGGTCACACCACAAAGTTGCTTCCATAGCGTGGACCACCAGCGGCCCCTCAAAGGCCAGCAGGAGGTCTTAGGAGCAAACTTGAGAGTGGGCCCCGACTGTTTGCAGCCAATACACACCTTTCATGGCAGTCCCGGCCTGTGTTCTGAGGGGAAGGTCCACTCACCTTGAGTCTCATTCAAAGCAAAGCCCAGCGTGGGGCCGCTCTGCCTACCCAGACGGAGACGGGAGCAGCTGCCCACCCTGGGGCCCCTAAAGTCCACCCTTCCACCTCCTACTGTCCCCCACACCATGCGGCTGGCTGGTTGCTGACGTCACCTTGTGGTCCCCCATGCAGATGCTGGGCCCGATATGGTCGTAGGTGACCACCTTCTCCTCGCTCTCCGACTGGGAAAAGGAAACAAAGGGTGGGTGCTTGGAGGGCCCTGGTCTGAGGTTCTTGGGGTTTCTGGGGCATGAGGGGCGGCAGGGCAGGGCTCTGGGACAGTCCTCTCTGCAGTCCCTGGGAACACTGAATGGAGCCTCCTGCATCCGGGACAGCACATGCTCACGGCTGCTCCGCAGTGTCTGCATGTCTGTTAGCCCCTACATTTTCAGAGAGGCATGGGGCGCTGCTGCAACCAGTCTCCTCTGGGTCAGCCAGCCGGCCCGTGTGACAACTGCCACCCGGTGGGACGTTAAGGGCCCCATGGAGCTAGCAGGGCTGCTGTGTGCGGCAGATTCATCACACGCCGCACGGTAATTTACAAAGGCAGCGTAAAATTGCCGTCTGCAGCTGTGCGGCACTGAGACCGAGAAACAAATGACGGGCGGTGGCAGCCCGCACCTCGCTGAGCACTGCTTACACGCCTGCCGCTGGCTCCGCCCCGCGGGCCCCCTCTGGTGCGGGCAGCACATGGGGCATGACGGCGGGTGACCGAGCGTGGCGTGATGGATGAGGCTCAAGGCTGCCTACAGCAGTGTCCCCACAATCTGCCCCCAGAGGGCCCGTCTCTGCGGGCACTAGAAGCTGATGGGCTCACACTGGGTGGCAGCTGAGCTCCCAGGGTGCCGGCTGGCCTGCGGGAACTGGCCTTGCCCACTCGCCTAGACCCTCGCTCCCTGGGCAGTTTCCCAGACCCCTGGGGGTGTGCATCTCAAGCCCACTCGTGATCTCCTCCACCCCTGACCCTCCACCTGCCAGGGCCACTCTGCAGGCAGAGCGTCACAGGTCAAGCTGGGGTGTGACTCCTGGGTGGCCAGCCCTTCCTCTGGCCTGAGGGCTCAGCCCTGGGGGCGGCTCGGCCCTTCCCCTCACTTACCCTCAGAAGCAGCTCCTTGGCAGCTGGGGACATGAGGATGCGGTCACACCAGGCAGGACAGCGGGTGTTCATGTACTGCCTGCCCTGGCTGGAGTCCTCGCTGTAGGGGTAGCTGGGAGACACAGGATGCCGGGCTCAACACAGACACACCCCAGCATCCGGCTGACAGGTTTCTAAGGGGCCTGGGCTCCAGCACTGTTCAGATAAAGTGCTCCTTAAAGGGACAGTGTTCCTATTGTACGTCCACAGCTGCCTGCATTCCAGGACAGTGGGGACGGGCACGGCGAGTACGCAGGCAGCCACTGCGCCCAACTCCTGCTTAGCCATTGGGGGAGGGGAGACAGGATGCACGTCGGGCATGCCCTGTGCCCAGGCTGTGTCCACCCCACCTCAGTGCAGCAGCACCTTCCAAGGCTGACAGTGGGCGGGGGGAGGGGAGGGGAAGCTCTTGATGGTGAGTGTGCCTCCCTGGCACCTGGGCAGACACTGAGGGAGGGACCCCATTTGTGGGAAAACAAGAGATAGAGCACAGGGGGCTGGAGGCAGCTGGGATTAGGGTTGGAGACAAACTGGACCCCAACCCAGTGGGGCCCCTGCAGGGCAGGCCCTGAATGGGTACCAGGGTACTGTGTGGTCTGGGGAGTCCCATGGGGGCACGGTGGTTCCAGTTAAGGGACCAGGGTGTGCCAACATGGCTGGCCCTGGCATGCTGTGAGTCCCTGGGGAAGCTGCGGGGGAGGGCCACACACAGGCCACAGTGGGAACAGGGATGGCTGGCATGGCAAGGGCTGCACCGTGTGGCTGACTGTGTGCAGCCTCGGAGCCACTGAGGTTGCGGGCAGACATCTGCTGGTGGATTGAGACGGAGGCTGGTTGGTGGCACGTCAGCAGAGGCGCTATGCCCTGAAGCCAGTGTGGGACCCCTCACCACTGCGCAGCCTCAGGAAGACAGGTGTCTGCACGCATGTGTACATGGACGGGCAAGGAGCCATGCCATGAAGGGGCCAGCATCTACGGAGCCCTGTGGCTGCTGAGAGCAGTGTCCCCTGCCAGGAGCAGAGAGCAGACAGAGATGCTGGTGCCCTGCCCATGGCGCACACAGGCAGAAGGCGGCGCTGCCAGCCACCCCTGAAAGCGACAAGAAGGTGGGCCGGGCACCTGCCACACAGAGTGATTAATGTGGAGACTTATCTGAAAGCAAAGCCAGTCCGGGGCGGGCCCGGGAAGCCAGTTCGGGCGCAGCCGTGCCCCCGAAGGGCCAGGAGATAAAGCTAACAATTACCCACCTGTGCTGGCTTGCACACACTCTACCCTGCCCTCAGCCGTGGTTTCTGGCCAGGTGTCCAAGCGTTGACAGCCCAGGGGCATGACCTGGGCAGGGGCTTGTCTGCTGGCCAGTATTCCACGGGCCCTGCAGACAAACTGGCTAAGGGCAGTCACGTATCCACCAGGGCTCTGCAGGCAGGGTCCCTTGCTAAAGAGGAGTTGATCCCAGTTACTCTAACTGTTGCCCACCGGCTGGAAGCCAGCAGCCCCAGGAATGTCAGCAAGGACAACCGGCCTGTCATAAAAACTGGCAGGGACCATCTAATGTGACAAATGCCAACCTCCAAGGCCTGGTTTCAAGAACAAGTGTTTAAATTCCTGCAAAGCTGAGGAAGTCACACAGAGCATGCAGAAGTACAGGCTGCAGCCGGGCACTGACAGCAGGGCTTGGCGGAGCACTCAGCAGCTCACAGCACTTGGCGCCCTCCCCCCCCCCCCTGCAGACCCCGTCTGAGGGCATCACTGCCCCCTGGGCCCCTGGTGTTGTCCCTGCATGCTCTTCCCAGGCTGAGTGACAGCCTATAGGCTGGTGACCCATTTTCCTGAGCATCTGGATTTGGCCAGGAACCAGGTGCATGTTTTTTCTGGTGTTAATTGTACAATTATATCCGGATAATCGTCACAGATGCAAATTCTGCTGAAGCTTCAAGTTACAGCCCCCAAATGTTTGAAAGGCCTTCTGACCCTTGGTCGTAACACAAGAGGAACCACTGAAGACCCCTTCCTTCGGCCAGGCTTATGTAAAGCAGCACAACCCCGCGTCACAGAAAGAAACCGCTTCGAGCCCTCAGCCGTGGCTGATTCAGAGCGACTCTGCTGCTCACCGGGGCCCCTGAGCCGGTGAATACTTAGGTGAGAAAAGACAGCCTAGCCTTCTCCCAATGCTATAGATAAGAGACTTCAGAAAGCTCATGGAAAAAGGCAATGGCTCCATTTTCCCACCAACGTCTGGAAGCTTCCTGTAGCTTTTTCTTATTCAGAAGCCGAAGGCTGGTCTTCTGTTGTGACTGGCTCAGTAAGCCTTCTCTTTCTGCCACGAAAGTTGATTTCAGGAAGGCTGGTTCCCCTCAGTAGAGTGTCTCTGGGCGAGCACGTGCCTTGGACTCTGACGGGCAGAGAGGACGTGTTCACAGTGCCCAGCCCCCTCAAGCCTGAGCTCTTGGGAAGGGAGGGAGAGCAGCTTCATGGTGCTCCCGGAGTGTGGCCCTGCCTCAGTGCCACTGCTGACGCTATGCGGGGATGGCTGTGCGCCAGGCGATGCCACAGGAGGCTCTTCCTCCCCCCTCCCCCTCAGGATCAGGGTCCTGTCAGTGGACCCAGTAAGCTGGCTACTGCAGTTCTCTGAGTGTGGACGTGTAGGGGCCCTAAGGCAGCCTGCTAGCTGCAATGTGCTTATAGGACCCACGAAGACACCGTCTGCAGGGCTCATGGAGCACCGCCTCTCCTTGAGAGGAGGAGGGGCAGGCGCGCTGTGGTCACGGTGGGACGAGCTGGCCCCTTCCGTAGAGACGGTTTGTGCACTTAATGACCAGATCTAAGTTTTCAAGGAAAAAAATCAGAATTCTGAAAGCTCCTCCCCTTGTAAGCTTGACGTCTCAGTACTTCAGAGTTTCTGACGAGATGGCGGTCTCCTGGTGCGGGGACACCTGAGGGGAGGCTGGGACAGGAGGTCCGAGGTGAGGGCGAGAAGGGACGTGTGCGGGAGATGGAAGGGGGCTGTTGATGGGAGGCTGAGGCCTGGCTTCCGCGGGAGGGTGAGATAAGGCTTGGAGGTGGTGGGGCGTGACGTCTGAGGGGAGGGTGGGACGGTGTGTCTGAGGTGCACTGACATAAAAAATCTGAGGGGAGGGTGTGGAGAGACATCCGAGGTAAAGAGGGCTGGTAATGATGGTGCTACCACCCGTGAGAGCCACCGTTGACTGCACAGGTACTTGGACTCTGCTTTGATCCCACAGCGACCAGCACTTTCAGAGTTAGGCCTCACGTTAGACACTGCATCTAGCCGGGCAGCTGCTGCAGTCGGCTTTGCTGATGACCTGGCCAGCTGGAAGGGGAGTAGACCTGGCAGGTGGTGGGTGGTGCAGGGCAAGACCGCCATCTATAGCAGTGGGTGTTCCGGGTGCGCACCGATGCTCCCCAAGTTTACGCCAGACCCGATGGGATTCGCTCTCCAGCCACTGAGGACAGCTGGTCCCCCGAGGAACGTGAGGGCGGCCGTCTCTGTACACTGAGCGAGCTGCTGGGTGTGCGCCCACCCACAGCACCGAAGCCCCACGGGTAGTCCTAGGCCTCTGGCAACCACCAGTCTGCTCTCTGCTCCCTATGCTGCAGCACCCAGCGCCTGTCGCCGAGGCGGCCTGCCCCTCATGATGCTACCTGCAGCTGCGCAGAGAAGCCACGTCAGAGGCACCGGCTCCCCGCAAGCAGCACCTGCTGAGTCCCCAGGGTCAGGAGCCTGGTCAGGAGCCCCTGACAGTTTCCCTCATGAGCCCATCTGTAATGAAGGCCTCGGGGTTCCTGGCCTGTGCCTGCGCCCACACCAGCCCTGAGGGGGCGGAGATGTCCATGCTGCAGCCCTGGCTCCAGATGCCATGGCCTCTGCTGTCTGTCTCTCCTCGGAGAAGGACGCATCCCAGCACAGCGGCCTGTTCTGAGCCCTGGGAGGGACGGTCTGTGGGGGGAGGGCAGGTGGAGGGCAGCCTGGCTGGGGGGCGGGGGCACGTGTGCGTGCATGGGGCGGCTGCACTGTCTGCACACAGCTGCTCATGTGGTCCAACTCACAGACAGGCAGGGAGGAGAGAGGTGGTGACCTGTCCCCCAGGGCAGGCAGCACGGTCCTCACCTGGGGGGGAACGAGATGTCCAGTTCGTACAGTCTGTCTTTGAAGACGGACAGCTCTTTGTCGAACTCCAGGAGCTAAAGAGTGAAAGACAATGAAGAGACATCACTGTATCTCCAACGAGGGTCCCGAGGCCCAGGGTCGGTGCCGCAGCACTTACCTCCAGCCCCCCCATTCCCCCCCACCCCCCACGTCTCCAGAAAGGTTTCTGGGTTCGGCATCCATGAGTTTGGCTGCTCACAGGCATTCTGTCAGGGGCCGGCCAGGAGGGCCTTGGCTGCGCTGCACCCAGGGGTGGGTTTACGACACAGGCCGGGTTCTCAGCAGGTACTGCCTGAGCCGGCACCTCTCTGGCATCTCCAGGGGGCCACATGGACTCTGAGAGCCTGCAGGACGGGTGGGATGGCGGCACACAGAGCACCCGACTGGAGTGAAGGAGCTCACAGAGTGCCAACCACAGGCCTGGGAGCATCTCTATGTCCACCCTGCAGCTGGCCCAGGAGGTGGCCTCTGAGCGGGCACCCCACACTGGCCCATCTCCTCCTCTCTGCCACCTCATAAATCATCCCCAAGCATGCACTCAGCAGGTGGGTGGCTGTGTTAATTACTGAGACCCAGCCCCGGGGGCCTCTTGCCCACTGGGCCAGACGCCACGCCAACTAGTTATGAGGGCAGCCCGGGGGCCTCAGCAGCGGTCCCTGACTATGTACCCTGCGTGGCCGGGCAGCAGCAGTGCACAGAGTGGAGCAGTGATGGCCTCGTGGAGGAAGGTTTCTGTGGTGTCTACCTCCCATAACCTGCCCCCCATTCTGCCGAAGCCTCACCCAAAACGTAGGAGTACAGGCCCTGAGGCGCTGGCGCCCAGAGCATGGGCCCCGTGCTGGGAGAGGAAGCCTCGCCGAGCATCGCTCTAGGCCAGCAGGGACCCTCCCAGGTGCACAGGTGCCTCCAGCAACTGCAGCAGTGAGGATGGCTCCCAGGGCCTGCAAGGCAGGCAGCACCAACATTGCTTGGGTGCATGTGTGTCCACACATGTGCATGCTTACAGGAGTGAAGACGTGCCCGAGGTTGAGTGTGCATGTAGACACGTGAGTATGCAAATTTGTACACAGGGGGGCATATGAGATTATGCCTTTGTGCCCGTGCTGCCCACATGTATGCATGGGTGTGTTCGTACCACATGAGAGTGTGTGCCTGCGTGCTTAAACATGTGTGCACATGCCTATCTGACAGGGAGGTGCCTGTGAGTGTGCACATGTGTGCGTGCGACCCTCTTTGTGGGGGCTGATGGTCTGAGACTGACTGTCTCCCAGCTTCCGGAATAGCTAAAGCACAGAGCTGCTGGGCAGTGTTAGCGTGGCACAGGCGAGGGGGTAACCGTGCTAGGACTTTCTCAGGAACTGGCCAGTGGAGGGGAAACAACAGTGGGGGCACGGGGAGCAGGAGGCCCCCAGGAGGAAGAGCAGAGTGGGCAGCTGGGGACTGGAGCATCCACCACGTGGCAGGTTGTCCCCAGCCCAGGTCCACTTGAAGGGCCACTCTGAGCCCACACTGCAGGGGCTGACCGCCCTGACCTGCCCTGTGAGAGGGCCTGCTGGTGAGAAACTGAGGGATGAGGTTCTGAAGGAAAATTAAGTTCCGCAAACATGATCAGCGATCCTGCAGGTACCACAGACCCCTTTCTTGGACGCAAGGTAAGAGACACGGCCAGCCGGGGACAATGACAGAGCATTGCAGCTCCTGTGTCCCGCCGATCAATGCGCGCCGGGCTGAGCCGCTGCTAAACACACAGCCAACATCTCCATCCAACAGGCCGAGCGGTGCCTCGCCAGCCCTGCCCTGGGACAGCCTCGGAAATTTAATCTCTCCAAATCCTCACCAGGGCACTCCATCCTGCGCCCTGACAGCCACACTTATAATTAATTATACCATTTCGATGGGGCTATCGACTCGACAAAGCCATACATCATAGAAAAAGCCAATGGGCACGGACACATTCAATCATGTCCCAACCAATGATTACTGCTCTTAAAATACAATAATTATTTCCAGGAGCCAGCTCGAATTAAATTCCTGTCAGGCGGGTACAAGACCGCGGTGATGAAGGAGGCAATGGATTTTGGGGGTGAGCCTCACAGGCATATCTGTCCTGAGGGCGGGGGTCTGAGTCGGGGTCGGCGTGGCCCGTGTGTGGGTGACCACAGTGGCTCCCAGTGTCGACAGCTCTGCTGGGCACACCACCCATGTGGCCAAGCTCCCTACAGCAATGACATGAGGACCAATCAGCTCCGTGGGCTCCTGGAGCATGGGCACCCCGGGGTGGGGTGCTGGGTGCACACCTGGAGGGCGCCTGCTTGCCCCACTCACCGCGGTGCCGTTGTTGTCCTGGAAGATGTCCTGGTTGGAGTAGTCAAATAGCTTCTTCTCCAGCTGCAGCATCACCTGCGGGTCAGAGGGCTCTGTGGAGGGCCCACCGCGACCCTCCTGGCTTGGCTCGCTGCTCCTGAGGCCCCCACACCCTGTTGGGCCCAGCCCCTCACAGAGCTAGCCTGGGCTGCCCCTCCCCACGGCAAGTGACAAAGCACTCAGGCCTGTTACCAAGAGGACCACCTACCCAGGCCTGGGCCATGGGCCAGCACACGTGCACCCAGTACCAGTGGGCTAAAACACACATACCCCTGAGTAAGTCCACATGGTTCATGCGTCCTGCCACGCCCAGCACACACAGGCCCACCCCCCAGCACACGCTACCTCCCCAGCACATGCAGGCCAGCACCTGTGCGCCCCCCTCCAGCACATGCAGGCTAGCATGTGCGCCCCCCCATCACATGTGCAGGCCAGCATGTGCAGTCCCCCCACCCAGAATGTGCAGGCCAGCACACATTTGCCCTGTGTCCCACACCCAGCACACTCAGGCCAGCACATGTGCACTCTGTGCCCCCCACCCCCCAGCACACCCAGGCCAGCATGCGTGCGGCCTCCCACCTGGAACACGCAGGTCAGCACGTGCGCGCCCTATGCCCCACACCCAGCATAGCCTACCTTCCGGTCATTGTCCGATTCACGAAATATCAGCTTCACCACTTCGTTGGTGTCGGCGGCACGGACAGTCTGCACGGTAGCTTTTGTGCAGAGGGTCTGCGGAAACAGACAGGGAGGGTCAGGCAGTGAGGGTGGGGGGCCCACTCGCTAAGTCCCTCTGCAGGAAATGCCCAGAAAAGGCAACTTCCTGGGGACAGAATGCAGCTGGGGTGACAGAGCCGAGCAGGAGGAGGGGCTGACCACAGGGGCTGGGGAGGGTTGTCTGGGGGCAGGACAGCAGACTTACTTATGACCGCAGGTGAATCGCACCTCAATAATACTGGGGGGCAAGGGCAGGTTTGACTGAAAAGGAATCCTAACGACCATCACGGCATAGAGGATTCAAGTAGCCCGTGAATTCTGTCTTGGAGGAAGACGTGCTGCTCCAAGTCCAGGTGGACAGGAGCCGTGGCCTGGGGATCTCTGGACCGCAGAGGGGCCGCCATGGGGCCAGGGCAGGGCTGGCACACAGGCCCAAATCTGGGGACCCCCTGGCCGTGAACCCTCAGACCTCACCATGCAGTCCCTGGGCATAAGGTTACCGTCTCCTGGTGCTGGGTGGGTGGGGGCGAGTAGAGCTGTCAGCCAGGTGTCCCAGGCTGGGGCATTGACATGCAGGGCATGGCCTGCTAATCGGTCAGGCCCCACCATGGCTTCTGCACTCCTGTCAAAAGTCAGCCGGTGGCCTTCATGCTGAGCCAGTGGGATTAGAGTAAATACCCAAACACCAGCTCTATGAGCCCCCCCCCCCCAATCTGGGGCCTGGGTCAGACTCCCATCCAGATGCTAATGGGCTTAAGTGGCTTAACTGGCTTCCCCTGAATGGGGGCCCCTGTGGCTCCAGACACCATTGTCACCTCCAGGGCTCCACTCAGGATATTCAGGGTCTGCCAGCAGAGACCTTAACTCCAGGCACCGCCAGGATAAAGGTCTGAGCAGAGGGCAGAGGCCCACGTGCCACCCACACCCCTCCCCCAGGACCTCCCCCACAGGCTCACTGGGGATCAGGGCCTTCTAGCCCCAAGTCAGGAGTACTCATGCAAAAACGCTGCTGGCCTTTCTGGACTGCCCACACATGGGTGGGACTTTCCTCTTTTGAAAGGAGGAAAAATACCTCAAATGCTGCTGCTAAGAAGCCCCGATACCGATTCTATTACTGTGTCCGTGCCAGGGGTGCCAAAGGCTGGCCTGTGCCCTCTGCTGAGGCTGAGCCCCTTGGCAGTGACTTATCAGCAGGGTTCTAACCTGGCCTTCCAGGGAGTCAGGCTGACAGCCATGGGCACTCAGGCGAGCTGGGGAACCTGGGGGTGAACAGCCTGGGGCGCATGTACTCCTCACCCCTGAACCCCAGCCCAGCAAGAGGGCCTAGTCCATGCAGTCTTCAAAGGACGTGCTTTCAAAGCCAACTGAATTGACTCTGTGATTTCTGACTCAGGGGCAGTCGGAGTAGTGGGGCTAGCCCATTCCCAAGAGAGCAGGGCAGACCCCCACGTGCTCCCTGTCTGGGCCCCACCCCAAGAAGCAGCACCTGTACTCTGGGCCCAACCTGGCTCCTTCCCCTGCTCCTGACACTCACAAAGAGGCTGAAGCCTGGACGGGCCGCCCCATGTCCCCGCACTGTCCTCCCCGACGGCAGCAGGGCCGAGGCTGGCACCAGGCTCAGGTGGTCTGAGCTCACGCCGCTCCACCACCGAGGAAAAGGTGTCACTGTGCCTCTCGGTGGCCGAGGGCCCCTCCCGCCATGGCTCTGGTGAAGAGCGGCCACACCTGGCCCTGCCTTTGGGTTTCCCGAGGCTCTTGACCCCTGCTGGCCGTGAGCACCGCACACTGTGCAGCGCCAGCGTGGTGGCCCACCACCCACTGTTCGGGCTGCTGGGGCTCAGGTCCCAGCCTGGTCCCTTCCTCACCAGCTGCCAAGACTCTACATGCAGAAGACTGGATTTTCCACTTTGAATTCCCTTAAAACCACGTCCCTGTTGAGTTTCCACCCTCAGCCTGGCCCTGCGCCCCAGCCTGCCCTGGCCCTACTCCCCCAGACCTGCATCCCCAGCCTGCCCTAGCCTTGCCCCTGGCTCTATGAGGGAGCTGGGTGTCAGAACATCTGAGGTGGGCTCTCTCTCCTTTAGGAGCCTGCTGGCGCTAGCCTGTGACCTGGGCCTGTGCGTCCTTCCTGGGACAGTTTCACTGATGAGCTTTCCTGAAGGCGACAGACAGCAGGACTGTCCACACTGCCGTCTGTCACCAGTGCGGGTCAGTCCTCACGTCCTCTCTGCAAGCCTCCAGTCTTCCAGGTCTCTGCTTCGATGAGGAAACATCTCAAAGCACTTGTCTGGATACTAACAGTTCCCTCTTACTCTCTCGGTCACTCACACAAATTCTCTCAATCACACACTCGCGGTCATTGCATCCCTCAGATGGACAGTCAGCCCCTCACACTCACTCACACTCTTGCTCATTCACTCTCATCTCATTCACTCTATACTCAACTCCTACTCTATACTCTCCTCTCACACTCACGCTGTACTCTCCTCTCACACTCACCCTGTACCCTCAACTTTCTCGCACTTAACCCTCAGTCACTTAACCACACAGGTGTCTTGCTCTCACCCCTCCCCTAAACCGTCTCTCCATCACCAGGGCTCTGTCTTCACCGAGAAGCAGTGAGGACAGGGCTGAGAACTACGTTGGGGCAGGCAGCAGACAGCGGCTGGCCACCTCACGGCCGGCAGTCTCTGTCGAGGCTCTCCAGAAGCCAAGGAAGCAGCTCTCGGATGGATGGCTACTCGCTCTGGGCCCTCTCTCCGGTCCCTGGCCTCAGCTGCTGCGCTGTGAGGAAGAAGGCCTGCTGGCTCCCTCCCCTCACTTACAGGTCCACCACCTGCCCCTCAGACCCCACTAGGAGGGGTTCTCCATGAAGCGTGCGCCCCTTGATGCAGGGTGAGGGGTCCCGGGGCGGGTGGAAAGGCCTGACCCAGGAGCTACAGTTCAAAGGTCTCGGAGGAAGCTGGCAGATGCACAAGGAGAGGCCTCTCCCTGCTCCAGTACGGGACGGCCTCCTGCTGACAGGCACGTCTGCGTCTCTCTGCAGCAAGAGGTGCAAGCTGTGTGGGGACCTTCCAGGGGCTGCTCTGGTCCCCTCCCCCCGGAGAAACAGAAGAGAGCAGCTGGTCTAATCCCGACCCTGGTCAGCAGGGGGTACCGCGGGCACGTGTCTGGCCCAGAAAACAGGGAGCAGGTCCTCCAGGTGTGCCAAGGCCTGGGAGCTGTGCTGACAGCATCCTCCCTCAGCACCCATTGGGACGGGGCGGGGTGGGGGCAGAAAGTTTCAAACAAAGTAACGGGGAGCACCCCTGCTCACAGGACGGCACCCCGACGTCTCCACAAACCAGCCGCTCCTGCTTCCTCCCCCACTCCCAAGGCCTTGCTCTGTCGGTCACCCGCCGTGCCCCCTGGTGTGCAGCCACCAGTGAGGAACCAGCAGAGCCCGGAGCCTGGCAAGGGGACCGGCAGAGGGTGAATGAATGAACCGCAGGGGCCAGCCTGCCGGCCCCTCCACACAGCACCTGTGCCGTCGGCGAGGCGAAGGGTGCGGGAAAGGCTGGCATGCACAGAGGGTGAGGGTCACGCACACCTGTCCTACCACAGCAGGTCCGCCTGCGCCCTGCGGCCCCTGGGCCTGGCCCCAACTGTGCTGCAGGCCGCTGCCGCTGGGTGGGCTTGCAGTACATTCTAGCAATTTTTCATGCCCATCCCTCTCAACATGACCCTGCTCAGAGCTTTTATCCCAGTGAGGATTTGGGGCAGGAAGCACGTGGCCCTCTGACAGCGTGAAATCAGAGACAAAGGCTGCGGCACAAAGGGCTGAGTGGCCGGCTCCGCCTGAGCCTGCAGTGCAGGGACCGGCAGGGGTGCGGCCACGGTGACTCTCTATCCTAGTGGACACCAGGAGGGACACAAGTGGCCTGGCAAGGCTGGCCCCAGGAGGCCAGTTCTGCCCTTCCTGACCCAGGGGCAATGGGAACTTCTACTTCCAGCAGCATGGTTTACAGGGCCCCTGCCCACAGGGAGAGACACAGATACGCCATGTAGACAGCGTGCTGCCCCAGGAGGCAACATGCCCTCTGCCAACAGGAGAGCCGGCTGACACACGCTGGGAATGGGGGTCGAGGGAGGGAACACGGGGGGAGTGGGGGCCGAGAGGGCAGGGAGCAGACTGCGCCTGGGCTTTCTGTACTCTACCAGGAAGCACCCCCTGAAATCAGCCCCGAGTTCCTCTCGCAGCACCGGCGGCCCCGCCACAGAGGTTTTCTCCGTTGGTGCCAGGCCCTTGAGACTAGCGGCCTCACTCAGCAGACCCCAGAAGACCACTAGGCTGAACCCTGCCACCTGTGGTCCCTACAGTGGAGCATCCTGCTCACCCCCTCCAGGCGGCTCAGCCCCACCAATCCCCGGCAGCACTCGGGTTGCTGAGGGGCTCGGACACAGCTGGCTGTCACTGCAGCGGGTGGAAAACCATGAGCGAGAGACTTGCCTTATGGGACAGGTGGTGGGGCCCCTCAGAGGCAGGCCCCAGTGGGGAGAGCAGGGACCCTGGGGCCGGCTGGTGACATGTCTTCCGGTGGTGACCTCTGTGCGGGTGAAGCTGGCTGGGGCCCAGTCACACTGCCAAGGGCCAGCAGGGCGGCCTGTGCCCCCACTTAATGGGCCCCTAACTGGTGACCGCTCCCTTGGGGCAGCAGGGTCCTGAGGCCAGGCAGGGCTCGGGCAGGACCCTCTGCTGCAGCCCCTGCAGGGGCTGCTCCATCAGGGTGCTCTCCGGACCGTGTCCCGCAGGCCCAGGTGGCACGAGACCGTGTATCTGTCAGCCACGGGCAGCTGGCTCTGGAGGCACCACCGCTGCTCCCAAAAACCCATCCATCTCCGTCACTGCCAGCAGGGCGCACGCAGGTGTGGCGCCAAGAGGCAGGCATGCCAGCGGCACTGCTGTTGCTGTCACCGTGGCGACAGCCCAGCTGCCAGCACCCACACCCGCACAGCCTCTCGACACGCCTGGAGGCTCGCTCGGCGCTCGTGTGCGCAGTCCCTCGAGACCCGCACCTCTGTCCTGCTTGGCGAGCAGCCTGTGCTGAGCGGCAGCGGTCAGCGTGGCTGGACCAGCACCCAGCCCCACCCGGGCCGGGCAACACAGCCCCCCTCTGCAATCTCCACACACAGGCTGGGCAGCACACCCCTCCCACTCCCACGGACGTCTCCACATGTGGGCACGGAAACAAGCCCCACATGGGCTCTCCACACCCAGCAAGTTGACAGTCCCCCCGGTTGACTCCCACACAGAGCCCCCCACAAGCTGGCCAGTCACCCCCTGCAGCTGGCCCTTGGGAGACGAGCAGTTCCTTGATTTACTGCGGCCTCCAGGGCCGGCTCACGGGCATCGCGCGTGGTGGAGCTAATTAACCTCCCATGAATCTCCCACGGCACCCAGGACAGGGAGGAGTGGGTTGGTGCAGGCTGCCCCACTGTGCACAGCAGAAAGTGAGGCGAGGAACTGCCCAGGACAGAAGCCTGTGGGCACAGATGCCGCCGCCGCCGCCAAATCTTCAGGGAGGCCAGGTCCTGCGGAGCTCTCCTGCTCTGGGGCGAATCCATGCAGTGTGCCCCTCAGGCTGTCTGTGCCCGGGTGCTGCACCCTGAGCCTGACAAGATCACACGCTTCCCTGTCTTTCCAAGCACCAGTCAGGGTCACACACCTGCGTCTGTCCAGCACTGATCACCCCACGGCCCGTGGCACTCCACCCCACGTCTGCGCCCACAGAGGTGCTTTCTGGGAGCTTTCCTGCAGTTCCCACAAACATCAGAATGGTTGTGGGGTTGGAAGCCCTTTGAGAGCCTGCTCTCCATGCTACTGGGCAGCTTCCTGTCCCTCGCAGGGGCACTGGAGGCTGGGCAGAGGCCAAGAGGGCCACTTGTCTCCCAGGAAAACTGGTCAATTGGCAAGGACAGACTTCCCTCCCCTGCTGAGTATGCCAACGGTGCCCAGTCCCAACTGAGGTTCCTCCCGTGAGGCACCATGCTGTCGGCAGCAGCACTGGGCACCCTGGGCTGTGGGGTGAGAAGCACCTGCTGCCTTTGGGTCTGGCCCTACACGGCGACCGCCTGCCAATGCCTGCCACTCAGACCAATGCCCAGAGGGGCAATTTTCAGACTGCTCTCCACTAGCACCAATGTGCACACATACACGCCAACACATGCCAGCTCCAACGTACACACATGCCAACACCAGAGTACTCACCCCCCAGGACCACAGAATGCTTCTCACTGGTGACTCCCTGAGTGCACGTGGCCCACACCACATGGCCCCAGAAGCTACCACAGAAAACTAGTGGCTGTGAGAGAGGGCTGAAGTGGGCGGGGTCTTCCTCGAAGGTTACAGAGACATCACCTGGCACCCTCCCTCCCGCCACTCTTGCCCCAGGAACGCTATTGATCCCCGATTCCTCCAACAACACGAACGCAGCTTCCCAGCAAAACGATCAATGAAACTCGAGATTAAGACTCACATAAAAATGCTTATGCTGTGGCAGACCACTAATGTATTGTTCTTCCTCGGGAAGGGGTAGCCACCTGCATAATGTTTACTATTATTTTTATTAGCAATTAAGCAGCTCGTTGCTCTCTGGTTGCCGGCATCCAGGGAGCACAGACAGCCTGGCTCGACCCGGCAGAAGCTTCTGGCAGGCACAGCTGAACCCTGGTGTCACAGGTCCCTGGCGCTGACAGCAGGTGTGGGAGGAGCCTGGTCCAGAGGGCAGCAGGGGCTGGAAACGGGGAAGTGGGCAGACCCTACATGGTCAGCAGGCAGTGCTGCCTCAGTGGGCACCTGAGAAGCTAGGGGAAGAGTAGCAAACGCCAGTTTCTACCAGCTTGGGGCCTGAATGGGGCACCCCCCCTGCCTGGAGGACCCCCGAACTCGGGGCCTGTGCGGCCCTCTCTGCTGGAGGACCCCCGAACTCCGGGCCAGCACGGCCCCTCTGCGACCCTCCTTGGAGATGTGCTGCATTCACAAAGGGAAGAGTCATGCGATATGGTTGGAAGTCACTTGTGGGAAAGATGTCACCATGTGGTCACTCAAGGACATGCTGGGTCTCTGGTCTCAGGTGACTACCTGCCACTCCAGGGTGCACCAGAAACAGCACTAATGTCCAGATCTAGTAGGACAGGGCTAGAAGGACAATGAGAGGCTAGCTTCCAGGAGGGACGCCTGGCTGGGCAGCCCTGAGCAGCGTCAGGTGTAAAGGCAGCTAAATGCTGACAGGTGGCTGCACCAGGTTCCAATCCTAATGAGCAGCCCAAGAAGAGAGGAGCCAGCTGACCAGTGGCCGTCTCTGGCCCCATGGACAGTCTGAAGTCCCCACTCCTTCCATGAAGCTGACCAGTTGCTGTCTCGGGTCCCAAAGGATGGTCTTAGTGGCCCCTCTATTGGTGGGGCTGGCCAGTGGCCATCTCAGGCCCCAGGGGATGGTCTGAGTGCTCCCTCCTTCGGGAGACCCGTTGGCTGAAACACAGTCAGCCAGAGAGACATGGGGGCCTGGCGGCCTCCATCCTGGGAACGGCTTCCAAGGTCAAGGGAAACACTCGGGCAGTCCCGATGAGCTACACACATGGGACAGGGTCACTGTCAAGGCCCCGGGCTCTCATTTCTCTCACAGCCACTGTCACCTCGAGTGGCCCTAGTGTGAGCCAGACACTGTGCCTACCTTTGGTATATCAGCAGGCTCCCTGATGCTGGGGCTAGGCCTGCTAGCGGGGCGTGTCCTGTGTGCCCCAGGTCCCTTACAGGGCTGGAGGGAGGGTGTCCTGGTCCCCTGAGCCCTGTGCATCTCTGCACCCTGAGGTGTACAGCCAGCATCTCGAGGCCTAACGAGGGCTGGGTGTTACCATAACAGTATCTCTGGAATAGCCCAGTCCCCCAGAGGACGCCCCTGGTCCTGAGCCGTGGCTTTCCTGTCATCTCCTGGGGACTCATTCTGACTGCCACGCTCCCTGCCATAGCCCCTCCTCCAGGCCCCCCACTCCAAGTTGCTCCTTCCCTGTTATCACCCCATCCCCCACCGCCACCGAGGACCCTCTCCCAGTGGCCCCCAGCCTTGAAAGCCCTCCCCCACCCCCACCCTGAGTCAGCAGCGTTCCTGTGTCCTGCAGTTGGCAACAGAGCCCACGACACCAGATTCCAGGCTCAGGGCGCTAGCGAGCGGCTGTGTAACTGAGGCGATGTCAGCTGGCTCCCAGCCCCACCATGGCATCCCCCGCCATGGCGTCCCCCAGGCGGGAAAGCCCGTGCCCTTACTAGGAGTTTCTGCTGTAAAAACACGCTGAGGAAACTGCCCCAGAGGCCAATGCCCCTCCCACCGTCGTCCACGAGCCCAGGGGCCGACCCACCTCCACCACAGACTTGGAATCCAGGCGGAAGTTGAAATCACCAAAGACGAAGTACGCCACTTTCTCGAACCGCTGGTCGCAGATCCTGGCGGAGAAGCAGATGGGTTAGTAGGCACGCCTGCCCTGCCAAGCTGGGGGAGGGAACGGGACAACACCAAACACACGCCCCACTCCCCCACTGATGACCGCTGGGTCCTTGCTGTGTTCCAGCAACCGGGCCGCGCCCAGCCCACAGGTCAGCTCTGATGCACGGGGGCCCTCACCCAATGGAACCGGGCCCTTGCCAGTCCTGCATCGCCCCCAGGGACTCTGCCCCACGTTCTGGGGTGTAGATCACTAGGCCTTTATTTCCCGTGTGCAGCAACACAAACGTCCAATCAGTGGACGGACAGGTGGAACCCTGGGGGGAGGCACACCAGGGGCGGGTCCAACCCTGACAGCCTGCTACAACCACGGGGAGAAGGGCCACAGAAAGGCCTGCCTGCTCAGGGGAGGGCTCTTTCTGGATCCAAGAACAGACGTGGCAGGGAGCTGCCCAAGGTGCCCACAGTCCCCTGGTCTCTGGCTGCCCCAGCCAGGGATATGCGTTCAGTCTGAATGGCAGGTCATTCTCACTTGTATGTTCCACAGTGACAACCTCACGGCAACCAGGCCTTCCTAGCCAGATGTTGCCTGGCCTCTCGACCATCTCCCTTCCCAGTGACCACTCGGCCCAGGGCCCCTGGGTGCGAGGCCAGCAGGGTCTTCAGCTGTGCAGTCTAGGGATAGTGCTTTAGCAGACCCACTCTGCGGATGCTAGATGCCACCACACAGTCACTCGTACGCCTGCCTCCACGGAGGCTCCTCGGAGCAGGTGGTGGAGACGCCGCAGACCTTGCCCGCCCCCACTGCAGCCCAGCCCACAGCATGTGCCCTGGTGGGCATCAGGGACCTACCAAGCGAGGTGACGCATGGAAGGCCTGGCCTTGGTGGTTTTTCACACAGGTAGCCCAGTTCTCCCTGCTGTGCAGAGTGAGCTCCACGCTGGGCAGGACAGGAAGGAACTCCTGAGGCCCATGCCCGGCACTGGATGCCCTCAGAACAAGGCTGAGGTGTGACCCTGGCCATCAGGAAGTGGCCCTGAGGCCTGAGCCCGCTGCGCACGACCACGGGGGCGCTCTGCTGTGAGTCAGGTCTGCCCTCAGCCTGAGTCCAGGAGCTTCTTGGAGGCCCATCAGCCACAAGCACGAGCCACTCTGGACCAGAGGCCAGCACGTTCACTTCACTTCCTTCCCATCCAGACGAGCCCTGGCCTTGCTCCTCTCTCCGTGGCTTGAGCCGGGTGGAATCCCATTGGGAAGGGGGCTTCCCTGCACATTTTACCTGTCTGCCCCTACCCCACCCGCGTAGGCCTTTGTGAGAACTGGCATTCCCACTGCCCCATGGGCACCGTGCCTCCCATCGTGGAGGGCCTCGCTACACCTTTTAAAAATGAACCATCTCAGCCAATTCCATATTCCGCTTACGTATCACACATCCTGCCAAAGTCCATTTATAACCAAAATTCCTTTATAACCAGAATCATTTTCCCTGTGTGTTAATTTGGGGCAACAGAGGCACACTTTGAAAGTTACTGACAGCACAGGTGAGTGGTAACTTCACCTTCTTAGACTGTCTCTGTGGAGGTAAGTGCCACAGCGGGGCCAGAGCCTGGGGCAGCACAGTGGAGTCCTGTGTATGCCCCCAGCAGGCTCCCCACCCTACGGGGCCTCCTAACCCCAGGGGAAGCTCAACGTGCAGAAGGGATCCAGGAGGGCCAGCCGGGGCCACCACCACTGCTCACAGCCTCTGGAGGGGCTGCCACGGCCTGTGAATGGCTTTGCTTCTGTAAGAAAGCTCTAGCAGACCTGCGGGGGGTGGTGGGGGGTGGTGGTGGTCTGGGCAGGGGCAGTTGGTCAGGACCCTCTCTTGAGAGCTGAACTAGGCGGGTCCCACAGACACTA